GCAATTTTACTGTTGACATCCAAATATTTGATAGAACTTAAAGTAGCTGGAGTCAAGTGGGGCATGTAAAGGTCAGTACATGTTCAGACAGATTTTAAATAGTCCCCATTTGACCAGTTTAAATGAATGGGAACTAAGATAACTAAAACAAGCCTACTGTGTGCAGTGATTTTCTGTTGATTGCTTAATTTTTTTCTTTTTCACATTTTACATTATTATTTAAAACCACTTGACAGAAATGAAATAAATGATTAAAACTGTTGGAAATAGCACTTTGATTTTATAGAGGTATGTATCTCCTGGTATGAAGTAGTGTATTTACATCAGTGTACATTCATTATGGCAGAACCTCCAACCTGTCCAATCATCTGACTGCTCTGATTTTGCTTGTTTCCTTGTCTTTTTGAAACCATTTATGGATTTACAGTTAATGTAAATTATTAGGCCATGCTTTTTTATTTATTGCCTCTTTTACTGGTCTGATTTTCAGGTGCATCACTTATGACCAGCTTGTTTTAATATTCATCAATCAATGTCTTTAATACATTATTTTTTATTGAGTGGCTAGGCATGGTCTACCATCCATACAGTGTCACCTCAGAATATATGTTAGTTTTGTATTGTGGCAGTATGTCTACATACAGCATGTTCTTCGTTGTGACTTGTCTGATTGTGTTTTTTTTCCCACCGGTCACAAGGAAGTTGTCTAGTCTGATGGACTGTCACTTGTTCCCTAGGTCTCCGCAGCTATACTGGAGAAAATTGCTGTTACACCTAAGAGGAATGATGGGCATAATTTGTTTATAAAAATGTCATGTTATTTTAACTACACAAAGGATCTGCTAATCTGGGTGTGCTGACATGACCTCCTCCGGACTATAAATAGTGGTGCCACACTTACTACCCAGGAATCAAGCAGCACCAAGGTTTTCCCATCTTCATTGCAATACATACTGTAGATGCATTTCAGTAAATATGTAACATGCCCACTCACTTTTCCTTTGACCTTAATGTCATAAATCAGTCATAAATCATGGAGGTGGCAACTTGCAGATTGAGGGGTCTGAGGGGAGCAGAGGACTGAAAGTTATAAACACTTGCTTTTGAGCAAATCTGATTATTGAGAATTCTAAATTAGTGACAATAAAGAACAAATAATTCAACAGGTATATCTAAAAAAACATACAATATTTTGCTTTGCTACAGTTACATTAGTAAAGATTCAAAGTGGTTATTGTCATATGGAGAGTATAGAAATGTGTTTCCCTGCACAATGAAATTCTTACTTTGCCATCCACACTGAATGCCAAACAACACAAGTGAAATATGAAGTAGATATACAGTGGCATAAAGATCTAAAGGCACTTCAACCAGCGAGTGAAAAGAAATATACCGTTTAGTCCCAAACAGGGTCACAGGGGGGCTGGAGCCAATCCCAGCCAGCTGCAGGCGAGAGGCGGGGTACACCCTGGACTTGTAAACCCCTATCAGCTGTTTAGGAGTCTGATGGAAGTCCTGCATTTCACATTTCTGAACCTCCGACCAGAGGGCAGGGGTGTGAACAGCCCATGGAGTGAGTGCCACTGGCCTGTAGTCATTCAGGCAGGGGACCAGGCTCTTCTTGGGAAGGGGGATGATGGCTGTGGTCTTAAAGCAGGTGGGAACGATACTCTGGCTGAGGGAGAGGTTGAAGATGGTGGTGAGAACATCAGCCAGCTCGCTGGCACATGCCCTGAGAGCCCTCCCAGGGATGTTGTCCGGTCCTGCCGCTTTGCGGGGGTTGATCTTCCTCAGGACTGTGTGTACCTGGCCTGGTGAGACAGTTAGTGGAGGGGAGTTGGGCTGGGTGGTCTCGGTGTGTGTGTGCCTCCTCTCTGTGCTGCAGTTGGAGGTCTCAAAGTGGGTGTAGAAGGTGTTGAGGTCATCCGGCAGGCTGTCTGTGAAGCTGATGATGCTGGTGGTGGTCCTGTAGTCCGTGATGTGCTGCAGGCCTTGCCACATCCGTCCAGAGTCAGCAGTAGAATAGAAGCCATTCAGCTTCTCTCTGTACTGCCTCTTGGCCGCTGTGATGGCTTTCCTCAGTCTGTAATTTGCAGCTTTGTACTCCGTCTCATTGCCTGATCTGAATGCAAGAGAGCGAGCACGCAGCATGTGGCGTATCCAGGGCTTCTGGTTGGGAATTTTCTGACTTTCATTGCACAGTGTGCAGCAGAAATGCTAAAAGATTACATTGCATTCTAGGGCAAATGTGTCTGTTATGGTAGCCCCCCTCACCAGGAAGGTGAGGGAGACTTGAGGTTGGACTCAAGTTTGCAGGCCCAGGTGCTAGTACAACAAAAACAGGTTTGAAGGGACAAAAACGCAAAGTAGTAACATAACTAAACAAAACTAGGGCCATGTGCATACATAATCAAAGGAGGCTGAAATAGTGGAGGAGACCCGGATGAATACCTAAACAGATAAATGGAACAGTAGGAATCAGGAGAGCAGGAGGATGAGGATGGACAAGTGAAAACAGGGTAGGAAAACAAAAACCGACAATCAACAGCACAGGGACTGTCAGCGTTGAAGTATCGGTGCGTTTTGCGAAAACGCATAAGTAACGTGATATGTCAAGCCAAAATGCACAGTAACTGTCAGCGTAGCATTCTAAACACGTCTAATATGCGGTATTAACATAAAATTGTCACATACTGTGAGTAAGTAATGTACCGGCGACGGCGGAGCGTCTGCCAGAGGTATAAATAAGGAGGAAAACTAATCAGCGGGATGTACCCCAGCTGTGTGCACCGACAAACGAGTCGCTAATTACCGAGTGCAACACAGCTGAGGTGCAGAATCCCGCAGGTCAAGAAAACAGAGGAGAGAAAGGCGGAAGAAAGGCAGCTGCCACCGAGCGGCCCTGACAGTGTCTGTCAATGTCACCCTCTTCCTTTGAAGGGTCGGTCCCACACAAGTTAGTCTGAGTTTTCAGTAAAATGGAAAGCCAAGGGCTGTGGAAAAATCACTGTGGACTTGTTAAATGACTGCTGGAACACTAAGGTTATGCATTGTACACAAGTTTATCAACCAGTGTGAGAAATATGCATTTTCCTCGTCTCTGTCCCCTTGTTCTTTCTTGTTTTTTTTCTGTTCTTCCTTCCTCCTCTTCCTCCATCCAGCTGTCGACTGCATGGTATCCGAGTGGTCAGAGTGGTCAGAGTGCAACAAATCCTGTGGCAATGGACACACCATTCGGACACGTATGGTCAAACTGGAGCCACAATTTGGTGGCAGGGCTTGCCCTAAGACCATCGACAGGAAAAAATGCAAGATCAGGAAGTGCCGCACAAAAACAAAGGAGGAGAGAGGAGGGGGCGGAGAAAGGAGAAGCAGGCGGGGTAAACTGAGTAGAGATGCAGTGGTGGATGAGCAGTCAGGTTGGTGGTCATAAACTGTTAGATTGTCATTACTAAAGCTGCTATATGAGACGCTGCCATCTCTTATTTGTTCCAACAGGTTGCAGGATGGGGCTGTGGAGCAGCTGGACGGACTGTACCAAAGCGTGCGGAGGTGGGACACAGGAGCGTGTCAAGAAGTCAAAGAAAAGAACAAAGGGTGTTCACAGGGCCAGGTGTAAGAAGTGGGAGGAGAGCCGCACCTGTAATGTTCATCCCTGTTAGGGGCGCTACTGACCTTCAGGGTAGGAGAGGGAACTGAGGGTGAAATACATGAGGCATTTGAAAAGGTGATACATTTTTTTGTGTACAGGGAGGTTGGGTGAGGGTGGAAAGGAAAGACAATGGCAGGTGGAGGGAAAAAAAGAAAAGAAGGAGAAGAAGGATATGTGTTGTTTAATGAAGCCATTATAGACATTTAATTAACAGGGCTGACGTTTCTTTTAGACCTTCAGTGGCAGAATTAGAGAGTCATGTCTGCATCCTGCAAAAAAATCAGCTTTGCAGGAATTTGAGAAAAAATAACAACTACAGTAGCTTTCTCACTGACACAACCCTGGGGTATGACATATGGTCAAATCCTTGCATTTCCTGGGAATTCTCACCAAAATTTGCTTGTCTTCTTGGAAAAATACCACGGGAGCCTATGCTTTGATTCATTCTGTATGAACTAAGACATAGATGCTCTCTGCAAACATCATTAATGATATCATGCAAGTGTGATAGCTTTGGTTCACAGTGATATAACTGTATCAACTTATTAGCTGTGGCAGCTTTTAATTCAAATTCATGCTGAATTGGCAGCCCACTGATGTGCGGCAAGAAGCAGAATAACCTGTAAACACAAACTTTGCAAACATTTCAGGTGTCTTAATCAGATGCAAAGAATGCAGGCTCCTAAAAGTGCAGTATAGTGTGTATACACAGGTATACATCATATACCCTACTCTTCTCAGAGAGATTTAAAACATACCTACCTGCTTATAGATTTATGTATTACTGTACATCTTGCAGTTTTTCATGTGATCTATAATGTTTCGACATACAAGACACTTTCATTGCTGACTTTAGCCTTTGAGGCAGAAAACACACCCTTGTGGATCCAGACCTGGGGAGAAACACTGTCAAACCCGGGGAACAAATGTCCCTTTCCTTCCAGTTGTTCCATAACCCGCAAGCTTAATGGCTTTGTATGAAATTGCTGACTGTAGTTTAAACACCAGTTACAAACAAATAAGGCCAAGTGGTGGACCAAGTATTCAGAGCCTTTACTTTCGTAAAAGTAGCAATAGCAATATAAAAATTGTCCATTACAAGTCACTTAAGAAAAAAGTACAGAATGTAGTTAAAGTATCATTATTCCAACTAAATGTCCAACAGCAATGAACATCTTCCTCCCCCTGTATCCACTCAGACACAGACATAATGTTAAAAAAGGTATAATATACTTAAAAACAAAATATCAGATGATAGTGTATATTTACTTCAAAGAAGACTTGTTGTTTTACAACCACATAAGCCAAAGAATAAAATCACAAATTTGAGTAAAAACATTTTATCATTCATTCTCAGCACTCCTTTGTTTAAAATCAAACTTAATCTATGGCGAGAAATCCCTGGGGAAGGGTAACATAGTGCCAAGAAGGAATCACAGACAAACTTTCAGCCCTACATAGTTGGCAACTGTCACTGAACTGACAAGAACATAAATGAAATATAGGTGCTCGTACAGAAAGTCTTTAAACACTAATGGATGTACTGTTGATTTGCTATCTAACCAACACTTATAAATGACACTACTGTGTAATTACTAAAAAAACACTTTCCCTAACAAACATATACAATGAAATGGAGATGTTTTATACTGTTAAAATTAGTCTTTATATACTGTACTGCTGTTTACCTGTCATTTCAGCTGATTGTAGCATTAAAGCTGTAACCGCGCTCTCTCTGGTCGAAGATCTTATTTTAGCATGTGTAAAAATTATGATTTTGGTTGGACATTATGATTTATCAGCTTTAGATATTGTCTTAAATCAGAAAGCTAAATGATTGTAATCTGCCTTTGCTGGTTCCTGAAAACACAGATTGTCGATTGCAGCTTCGACGGGCCACACCGTACACATGGGCTGTGCAGCACTAGTGCAGGGCTCTGACTGGAAAAGGAATTGTGTGAGAAGTGATATAGAGCTTTCTACAGCATTAAAACTTTAGGACAGAAAAACAACACTTTTTTCATATGTATTACACGTTTTTATTGTGCTTTTCATTTGTGTTTTTTATTACTACTCAGCAGGTTGCGTTGTATAAGAATAAGAATGTCATCACCAAAGTTACATTTTCTAGAAGTGTTTTCACTGACGGTCTTGCCTTCACTCTTTAATGTTTTCAAGCCACTTAATTTTGTTGTTTTGCCTCTGTATCACATGACTATTTTGTAAGAAACCACCTTTACAATAAAAAAAGGTAAATGTGAATATTAGAGTGCCATTGATCTGGTTTTGTTTCCACCTAATATGGGGTCTATAACAAAAGAAAAAAATATTTTGTGGAGGAACTGGTTGATCATAGTATAATAATAATTGTACACATACCGAGGCCTGTGGGATTCCAAAGGTAAAGCCAATGGTTAACAAAATACAAAGCTGACAGGTAAAAGGTGATGATGTTAACAATGCTCTGGAAAAACTCAGCATTGTTGGGGATAAAGTTTGCCCAGAATTAATTTGCATTCAGCCATAAAAACAAGGTTTTTCATGTTTGGTAATGTATTTACAACTTCCCTCCACTAGATGGCAATAGAAGAATGGAAAATCAATAATTCAGAAAAAGATCATTGTCAAACTGATACTGTGAGTAGAATAAATAGGCATTGAATGGGTGTTTAATTTATTTATCTCAGCACTTTCAGCTGCTCTCATGTCTTGGAAATCCTATGCCCACTTTGAAACTTTGAGAATTCTCATGCCAGCAGAGAGGCCTTGCTGATTACAGTAATATATTGGATGTCAGACAAGCTGGTTTGTGCCATATCATGAAGTGTGTTAATCCAGTAAAAGCTCAAGCTCCAAAAAGAGTGGCTCCTACATTTCCCACAGTGCAACTCAGTAGCTTCTATTGCTGGACTTTGCCTGGTAAACAATTCAAAGCTTCTGTTTCACTAGAACATCTCCAGGATCAAGCTAAGATAACCCTGATGAAATCATCACAACATATTTATGGTGATCCTCCAGACTTCACAAACTTTCTACAGAGTCACAGAAGGCATTTTGCAACTGTTTTCAGAGGTAAAGCAGTACTCACCACCAGTAAATTCTCTTTAAATTGTAAAATCAGTAGAGTGTCCATTTAACAATCCAGACAACCCAAAAGTCAAAACAGCTTGTTAAGTCTGTAGTTACTTGTAAATTTAAACTTGTTGAACCTAAGTCTTAGGATGCTTCCTGTTTAAATGACCTGCACAATATAATGAGACTTTTAAGTGTTATGAAGTCAGACCACAAATCAGTGGTAATGGATGCTCATGAATTTACAGAGTCTATTTTATAGATCACCAGTTAGGCTTTCAGCTTCAAACAGGGAAAAAGTAATTTCTGAGTTCCCATGATAACAGCTGCAGTCTGGTTTTTTTTTATTATCTAAGACTGACAAGTACATTTGAGGTAATATGTAGCAGTGTGGGACATGTAATCTCTTTAACCTAAAACTCATGTTGATAAAACTTCATGTTTTTAATTGTTTGCAAAATTCCAGATACCTATAAGCTCTGTTTCATTTACAAAGCTCCTTTCTGGCTCTTTCAAACCAGGAACTCACAAAAAGACGAAGTAGACCACTTAGATTTTATAAAAAATAACCGTGCTGGTTTATTCAGAGGATCACAGGTAAAATTAACATTACACGTCCAGATCTCTCCCACCACCAACCTGCGCGCAGGCAGCTTGGAGATGAAAGACCAAGAAACCTATATAATTTTAATCATTTTGGGCTAACCCCATACTACGCAGGGACGCCAAACCGAGACGTCACCTGATATGCCAGCTTGCAGCTGACCATAACAATAGTCAAAACATGAGGAAAGTCAAGGTGTGTGGCTGTTGATTTGTGGTGTGTATCTAAGAACAATTTGACATGACATTTCACATTAAGACAAATATTAAGATTAGCATTACAGTTAATAATAACAATCCTCCCTGCCTGCAGCCTTTGTATGATTTAATTATCCTTGGCCTAGATGCAGTCTGCAAGCACATGAAAATAACTAAGCATTTAACAGCCTGAGCTAGACATCCTGTCTCCACTAAACATTTCTAGACAACAAATCTCTAAATATCTATCTAACTAAGAAATAACCTAACATACCAAATACTTGATGTTGGACAGAACATACAGAGTGCACTGGGCGGTGTCAAACAGTGTGCTTTGAAGCAGATTACATGTGTAAAAGATAACAGAACAAATGTGACAGGTGATGGCTAGCTTAGCTCAACATGAAACTGATGGCTTTGTCTAAATGTTCAAAAACACCCTATCTCACTAGCTTTAGAGATGTTTGGTACAGTAGGTGGATTCTGTTACACGGCCAGGCTACATCTTCCCTCCTGTTTACAGTATTTATGCTGAGCTACATGGCCACTAACACAGCAAGTAAATAAAGAGGTCAAGCTAGTATGTTAATGAAAACTGCCCATTTATAATTCAACTATTTAAGCAATAAACCCTTAATAAGGGCAACAACAACAACAATTCCACCATACTGTACCCATACTGTACCTAAAGTTTAGCTGCATAAACCAAAAGTGGCTCTAAAAATGAATTTATAGTGAACAAAGGCTCTAATCAGTATGGACCCAGTGCTTGCCCTGGATTTCCATACTGCTACAATTTTATGATAGATAAAAGCAGCAAAACATTCACAGAAAGTGTCAGGTTTGCCCGGCGGCACCTCCCTCATTTCCTTTCCTCACACTAGTCAGCTCCCTTGCACTGATTGCACTATTAGACACACCTGCCCCGCTTCGCTGATACTCACCAGCTGCGCCTCGTTAGTTTCCTCCATACTTATACACTGCTCACCGTTCACTCCCCTGCCAGTTGTTTCTCTGTCTTCAGGCCCTGTGTATGTTATCGTTTTTTGCCGAGTACACACACACACACACACACACACACACACACACACACACACACACACACACACACACACACACACTCTCTCTCTCTCTCTCTCTCTCTCTCTCTCTCTCTCTCTCTCTCTGTTTTCAGTTATTCCCCGAGTCTCTATCCTGCCCCGCTGCATCTGGTTTTCCTCCTCATCCGACCCCTCCTCTGGACCCTGGTTTCTCTCAGCTCTACCAGCCACCACTTCACAGGTCGATGCACAGTCCCCTTTAATCTGTCTCTCTGTTACTCGTCTCTCAGTCATCATCATCTCCACCCCGCCCAGCCCAGGAGTGAATCCAACATCCGCAGCCTGGCCTGTCATCACTCCATTGACTGTGTTTCCTGCTACCGCTGATCGGCACCCGGTCCTCTCACTCCTCCTCATTCATGTAAATATTTTGTTCACTACTAGCACTGTAAATAAATCCCACTGCTTGCACCGAAGCCAGCTACCTGGGTCCGTTATTTTTTTCTGCTCGCTCATTGGTGTGTTCGAGCGGTTCCTAACACTAAGTAAAACAGAAATCCATGCTCATGAGACATTCGAGACTGATTTGTCTTATTGTACATGATGAATATTGCACATCTATAAATTCAGGTCTTAATGGCATTTATTGTAACTATATCTCTTGGATAAAAGCTGTTTTTGAGTGTTTGTGATTTTATTGGCCAGGGTGGGAGGGGTCCTTGAGAATGTTATTGGGTTTTTTTTTGAGACAGTGGGAACTGTGTAGATGTTCCAATGAGGGGGGGAGAGGGCAGCTGATCCCCTCTGTAGTGGTGACAACCCTCTGGAGTACTTTCCTCTCTGTGCCTCTGGCAAACAACACGCATATACTGTATGTTAGTATGCTCTCTATGGAGCAATGGTAGAAGGACACAAGCTGTTTTTCAGACAGATGGTTCTTCTCTGCTGTGCCTTCTTTATTAGTGCTTTGGTGTTAGTGTTCCAGGTCAGGTTCTCTTCCAAGGTGCATGCTGAGAAACCAAAAGTCTGAAACAGTCCCCATAGGTGAGTGAGGGCTGGACATCTTTTATTCCTCAAGTCTGATCAGCTCTTTTGTCTTGGTGGTGTTGAGGTTGTTGTCTGTACACCACACGAACATTTGTTTCATCTCGTCCTGGTATGTAGACCCAGTGATGAGCCCCACAACAGCAGTGTCATCAGCAAACTTGATGATGGTGTTGCTGGTGTGGGTGGGAGTGCAGTCGTGGGTGTAGAAGGTACAGAGTAGGGGCTCGGCACACATCCCTGTGGGGGGGCCTGTATTGAGGCCTGAGGAGATGTGGGGACCAACTCTGACCCTCTGAGAGTGATCCAGGATGTCATTTAACCAGAGGCAGATGGCGTGGGATAGTCCCAAGTCTGCCAGTTGGGACATCGGTCTGTGGGGGAGGATGGTGTTAGTTGCAGAGCTAAAATCTATAAAGAGCAGCCTAACATGGCTCCCCTTCTGCTCCAGGTAGATCACAGCATTATGAAGAGCTGTGGCTGTGACATCCGCTGCAGACCTGTTGGCTCTGTATGCAAACCAGTGTGTGTCAAATATGTGTGGGAGGGAGCTGATGAGATGACTTGGGACAATGTCTCAAAGCACTTCATGATCATGGGTGTCAGTGCCATAGGGCGGTAGTCATTTAAGCTGCTGACGTGACCTTTTTGGGCAGTGGGAGTATGGTTGAGGACTTCAGGCAGGGTAGGATGGTGGACCCAGATTGATTGAAGATCTTACTAAAGACCCCAGCCAGCTGTCTGCTCAGTACTTCAGAATCCACTCAGTGATGCCATTGGCTACTGCAGCCTTCCTCAGGTTCACTGCCCTCAGTGTGCACCTGACTTCATGCTCCTCCACAGTAAGGATATGGCTGCTGTGGGCTCCTCAGCCAGTTGTTGCCCTGGGTGGAATACACCCACAATACCCTCTCCAGTTCCGCCACTAGTATTTCCCCTTTCCAGGCATCCCTGGGTTACCAACCTCCTCTGTTGTCCTCTGCTGAAACCGACATTGCAGTTCCCTCTGTCCAAACTCACATCTCCCATTGTCAGGCCATCTGGGCTGTGACCAGGGCCGCTCTTACACGCACGGCGGACCAAAATAAAAGATTAGCTGTGTTTCCTGCTACCGCTGATCGACACCTGGTCCTCTCACTTCTCCTCATTCATGTAAATATTTTGTTCACTACTAGCACTGTAAATAAATCCCACTGCTTGCACTGAAGCCAACTACCTGGGTCCGTTATTTTTTCCGCTTGCTCATTAGTGTGTTCGAGCGGTTCCTAACAGAAACTTCTGAAACCACACCTGCAGT